CACGGGCTCGAAAAGCCTGAATTTCTTACTATTGTTTTTAAGAAGACATTTCCTTTCATATTTTATTTGGTGCTAGGTATGGATCCCAGGGCTTCTCATAGAAAATATTCTTCTCGGGTTTCTTAAGAAATGTGATTACATACTTAGCAGATGTCTAACACATATATATATATATATATATATATATATATATATATATATACACACACACACAGTCACACGGTACATATTCCAAACAAAACAAAAAACCAAAGACTTCTTACCCATTACATCTGCTTCCCTACCACCCACTCAACCCAGTCCCCACCATGGTTCCCTAATCTACCATAGAATGGGGTTAGTTTGACAGACTTGTTCCAAGTAAATCCACACCTGGCCTTGGGATCCCACTTCCTTCCTCCATACTGCTCACCAATTATTTAACGATCACTTAAAAATATATTTTCAGAGATACATGTTAATTATCTGTAAGATTATACTCTTAAAGACATCACGTATGTAGCTCAAGAGCATTTACTTAGCATCCTGAGGGCCTGGATTCAATCCTCCCAGCATGAGGTCACAGGAGAGAGGAAACAAGCTTAGGCAGGATTTGTCTCAGTTCTACCTCAGGACCTATCCTTGTCACCTACTTCAGAGACAGAGGAAAATTTGCCCCCCTCTCATCCCCCAATTCCTTTTTTCCCCTCTCAACTCTCGTGTATGTGATTCTCCGTTGTTACGTCTCCCTTTCTTGGTATCCGAGTTTTATTGGAAAGATGACTCATCTCCTGACGAGGGAGGGAGCAGTCAGCCCTTTCTCAGCTCCCAGGGCCGTGGGTGAACAGTGAAGGGACGGACAATTTTTTAATTGAATGAATGAGAAAAGGAAAACAAGAGTTTAGGATAAAGTCAAGCTGTGTTTCTCCGCTTCTTGTTGTGACATTAGTTCACCCCACATACATACATATATACATCTATACATCCATACATCTATACATACATACATACATAATACATCCATCCATCCATCTGTACATACATACATACATCATACATGCATTCATCCATCTACACATCCATACATCCATCCATACATTCATACATACATACATACATACATACATTCATACATACACATATACATACTTGAAGCTTGTCTGGAGGTGGAGATGAGAAGACAGGTCAATCCTACTACCATCTGTACACTTTTTTATATAAATTTTTTTTTTCGATGGTACAAATTGTTTTTTAAAATGGCTCTGTCCGCTTGGTAAATATACTATGAAAGATCTGTGAATGGACAAGGCTTCTGACCCCTGAATGGCCTTGTGAAGTCCCCTGGTGGCTTCCATACAGATGTAGATCCTGAAGCTTCCTAGCCCTCAGAGCCATCTCCCTGCAGAGCTCCTTTGACTTTGCTCCAGACGATTTTCCCTCTTTTCAGAAGGTCTCCTACAGGGATATTTAAACTTGGCGTACCAGAATCAATGAGACCATCTGTTAATCTTGAAGTTGTCTGACCTCATCCCAGAAACAATGACCCAGAAGGTGTAGGAAGAAACACCCAAGTGCTATGTTGTCACCAAGCGATAATAACAACATATGTTGATATGCTGTTATTAGGTCCAGCACATCACACCCCATCCCCTGCCCCCAGAGATTCTGCTCCCATCAGAATCTGAGAGTCTCAGGTCTAGCCAGCCCTGATTTTCTCATCTTACTTTTAATAAACTAGGACCACTTCCTTCAAAGTGATTGCTACACGTTGTCAGTGCAGTGCAAAATTATAATTAAACAACCGGACTCAGGAGGCAGGCTCCTGAAGATTTCCCCCCAAATGCCAGGGGGAAATCACTTAAACCTGTGCGCTAGTGTCCGGACCTTGTCAAATGAGTGATGATAACAATTCCCTCCTCATGGGTTTGGTTTATTTAAATGAACTATTACATCTCTAACCTTCAGCACAGCACCAAAGCACACACTAGGTACTCAGCAGATCCTGGACGTTACTAGTCCAAAATTCCTGCAGTTCCTCATCAGAACCAGCTTGATGGCATACCCAGTTATCTTGGGACCTAAGGATAATGCTCTGGGCCTTCACAACTACACGCTTAAGTCTGTATTTATGCATTTTACTGAAAAATGTTTCCATAGCCCTTACTAGGTTCTCAGACTAGTCTCTGACACTGTGTTGAGCTCTAGAGGCTGCGTGTCAAAAATATACCCTGGACTAGCAACGTTGGAACTGGTGGAGGCTGCTTAGAAATGTAGGCTGTCAGTTGGGTGGTACGCGGCGGCGGCGGCGGCGGCCTTTAATCCCTGCACTTGGGAGGCAGAGGCAGGCCGATCTCTGTGAGTTTGAAGCCAGCCTGGTCTACAGAGCAAGTTCCAGGACAGCCAGGGCTGTTACACGAAGAAACCCTGTCTCGAAAAGCCATAAATAAAAACATAAATATATAAATGAGTGAATGCAATGCAGGCTGTCAGAGCCTGCCCTAGCCCTGCAGAATCAAACCTGCGTCCTCCACAGGGTTCCGAGTGATTCCTCTGCACACTTACCCTGAAGATGGAGGCCTCCAGAAATCCCCCAAATTTCCATCATGGAAAGCATCACCCTGGAAATGTTACTAAGGAAAAAAATCTTAAGCAAGTTTCAACTTATCTCTGATAAGATTACCCAAACTTATTGAGCAATAACAACAATAAGAATGCTTGCAACAGGCAGCCCTGAAAACCGGGAAATCTCCTAGAATTCCTGACTGTTGCGCAATCATGGTGCATTTATGGGCTGAAAACAGATGCGGAGCAAAAAGAACAACTTAATTGTTCTCAAAGTCGCTATTCATTCTCTCTCTCTCTCTCTCTCTCTCTCTCTCTCTCTCTCTCTGTGTGTGTGTGTGTGTGTGTGTGTGTGTGTGTGCGTTCATCATTTTGTCTTACTCGAATGAGCTGACTGCCCATGGCCAATGAAGACTCAGCTGCTGAGACTGCCCCCGACTGAGCTTCAGCTATTCATGCTCTCAGATTCCTCCCTCTCAGGAAGCATGAATGACTCAGTACCGGTCTGGTCTGTTGCATCCACTACAGCAGGCGCAAAGCAATGCTCTAACCGCTTATTCTAACAGGCCTTTAAGAGTACATACACATCATCTGGCATATTTCCTGGTAATTCTGATTCGTCGAATCTGGTCTTTTTAAAACTCAGTTGGAGTTATTCTGATATTTAGAGAAGAAAACATTACCCCCCAAGGATAATCCACAATGTAAGGACTGAATGAGAGGCATGGTAGGATGTAGGGGAAACATGAACCTTTATAACTGTGGGTAGAAATGTAAGTTAATCTAACCAGGTGTGGATTTCCTTGGAAAAACTCAGTATGGAGCTTCCTCAAAAACTCTAAAAATAGAAGCCCCACGTGACCCAGGTGTACCATTCCTGGCTGTGTACCAGGAGTCAAAGTCCACACACAGCAGAGATACCTGCACACCCATGTTTACCGCTCTGCTCACAACAACCAAGTTGTGGAATCAGCCTGGACATGAGGAAGGTGTGGCATATATACACAATCAAGTTTTTATTCAGTCACAAAGAATGACATTGTGTCACTTGCAGAAAGATGAATGTAACTCAGTAGCGGATCATCCTGTTAAGGAAAATAAGCTTGGTTCAGGAAGATAAACATCAGGCTTAGGATGAAGCTCAGCCGTGGAGCACTTGTCTAGCATGTGAACCAGCAGGTTCTATCCCCCACATCACATTAACAAACAAATATTCCAGGTGCTGGGACTATAGATGTAAGCCACCGTGCTCAGCCCAGAATATATTAAAAAGAAGATACGAGGTAGTTAGTGTTGTTGTTACTGCCCAGGCTAGGGGTGGGGGGGCGGTGCAGAAGGGGAACTATTTGGGAAGAGAGGCCAATATGATCAGATTACATCGCACTCATGTTTGGAACTGTCACAATAAAACCCATTATTTTGTACAAGTAATATAGACTAATGAAAATTAACTATGTTTTATTTATTTATTTTAATTAATTAATTTTTTTTTTGTTTTTGTTTTTGTTTTTGTTTTTTTGAGACAGGGTTTCTCCATGTGGCCTTGGCTGTCCTGGAACTCACTCTGTAAACCAGGCTGGTCTCGAACTCACAGAGTTCTACCTGCCTCTGCCTTCCGAGTGCTGGGATTGAAGGCGTGCACCACCGACTGGCTGAACTACATCTTAAAAGAAGGTGGTTGCTTGCGGGCTAGGGTGCAGTTCCTAGCCCAGTACAGCAAGAAGCCTCTGCTGCTGGAGACGCCTGCTGAAGACTTTTTGCTGCAGCAGCCCCGACAGCACTCTGAGTACGGAGGTGGACTCTGGAGGACCTTCCTACCAGGAGTTGTCTTTCCCACTCACACAGAAAACTAAGCGGGAAGGACTCACCTTGTTTCTTTCCCAGGCTTCAAGACTCAGTTGGCCTTGAAGTCTTAGGGCCCAGCAGAGGCCTTTTACCAATGGAAACTTATGTTGCATCAAAACCTTGTTGTGATATACTGTGTACCCTAATAAAATTTGCCTGAAGATCAGAGGACAGAACAAACCACTGTATTAAACACAGATGCCAGGCAGTGATAGCACACACCTTTAATCCTAACACTCAGGAGGCAGAGATCCGTCTGGATCTCTGTGAGTTCAAAGCCACCCTGGACTACATGAGATTGTCTCAGTCTGGGAGAGAAACAGAGCCAGGCATGGTGGCACACACTTTTAATCCCAGCACTTGAGAATCACACACCTTTAATCCCAGCACTAGGAAGGAAGTGGAATAGCTGGGCAAAGAAAGGTATATAAGATGTGAGGAGACAGGAACTAAATAAAGCCTTTTCAGGCTGGGGAGTCCAAAAGGAAAGACATAACTGTGGCTTGTTCCATTGTCTCTCTGATTTTCAGCATTTACCTCAACAACCAGCACCGTTTTTTGTTTTGTCTTGTTTTTTTATTAAATGACCAATTCCAGAATTTGAGCTACAAAACCTCAAATTCCTTCAGGCCATTTAGGGCCCTTTCTGCCATCAAAGTAACAGACATAAAAGTCATCCAGAATCCCACCGCCTCGATAGATAAGATGATTGACGTCAAAGGCCAAGGCCACACACACACACAGCAGCAGGTCTGTGGACAGGAAATCATTGATTACAGAGATGTCCACTGCAGAAATAGGGATAGCCATGTTTACCCGCAGCTACCTTTGTTGATGTATAGATGTGCTTCTCGTCCACCCGGCCTCACGTTGAGTACGTTATCGGATGTGTTAAATGGCTTTAAACTTTGCTGTGAGTCTATCAGTAGAGAAGAGTGAGAAATAACAGCAGACCAAGAGGAAGAAAGGGCACTTTTTCAAGCCTGGAGGTAAAGTTTCTGTGTGTGCGGCACTGTGGACGGAACCTGAGAATCATGCATGTTGGGCGAACACTGCCACTGAGCTACACCCCCCAGCCCAAGCTGCTGGAAGGGAGCCTCTCCACAATGCCTTTGGACTCGCTTTTGTTTGTGACCCTGTCGGGGAAAGCCAAAATACGTTTATTAAATGTGCAGCAGCTGGATTATGTTAAAAGGGGACGGGAAATACTCGGCTTTGCAGAAGAACAGAATATTCCCCATGACTACAATGCTTTCACAGAGCACGCTAGTCTCACCGTCCTCTGCCGCCCGTGTAGAAAACACTCTTCCACTTGAAGGGGAAAAGAGTTTGGCGGCCACAGATGGTAAGGCCGCTTTGCCGGTGACTCTCTGTAGCAGGTGAAAAGATCCTCCCTACTCAGGGAATTTGAAGGTTGAGAGAGAGAGAGAGAGAGAGAGAGAGAGAGAGAGAGAGAGAGAGAGAGAGTGCAAGATAGAGACAAACATAGAATCAGAAAGACAAGAGACAAGTTCATGGTCATCTTTGGCTACATAGTAAGTCCGAAGCTAGCCTGGGCTGTATGAGATTCTGTCTCAAAAATCCAAAAGTAAATAAAATGAATGTACACATCCAAGAAA